TTTTCTATGTAATGAATCTGTGTCAACCAGCATAATACATGGACTATAGTAATGGGTGCTTAGTAAGAGCCTTGAGGGCTGAAGAAGGTGCTCTATAATTTTACTGATTTCAGGAGATATTTCATGTGCAAGAGACAGGCCCACCTGAATATCTTTCTGTTATCCAGGACACTTGCCAGAAAGATGTGTACTATGGTGGAGCTGTGGCTGAGACCTAAATCCACCACAATCCTTAAGGAAGTCAAGGACACTGGCTAACTTGGCTTTAAGGAAGTTCCTGACACTGTTTTTGTACCACTGACCAATTTTTTCCCCAAATGGCAAAACAAGCCTTTTGGTAGGAAGTTTTCGTGATGCCAGAATAGTATTGATCAGCACTTCCCAGCAGCCCTTGCAAACCAGCTCTTGCTTTCCAGCAGCAGTGCAGCCAAACTGAAGAGTGATCTGTAGAAGAGGCCTTTGGATCAGAAGGTCCAGTGACTAGTGGAAAAAGTACAGCAAGTTGTGCTGTTGTCAAGAACCATGGTCTCCTTTGTTATCTTGGAGCTACCAAAATCAGCAGTATTTTTCTTCTTTTTAATAGGACCCAAAGCAGAATATGATGGAAGGAAAAGCAAACAAAGCCTGTCCTTTCAAGGCTGAGACAGAATGTGCTCTTGCTGTACTGTCACTGTCTTTGGGGAACAATGTTGACACTTCGGTGATATCTACTGGTGTGAAGAAGTCTATTATCTCCAGCAACCTACCACCAGAAAAATGAAGGATTTCTGGCTGAGGCTTCATCTTCCAGGCAAAAAGACTTTTGGTTGAGTCAGTCTGCCCTCAGTGCATCTATGTGCATTGCCTTGAGGGATCATAAGGGACTTTGTCCAACAAAAGAGGCACAGACTCCTTGTGTAATATTGCACCTCTAGTAATAAGCTGACCATATTTTCAAAATAAAAAACTGGGACACTTTTCTGTCAATAGAAAAGGAGTACTTGTGGCACCTTAGAGACTAACCAATTTATTTGAGCATGAGCTTTCGTGAGCTACAAGTGAGCTGTAGCTCACGAAAGCTCATGCTCAAATAAATTGGTTAGTCTCTAAGGTGCCACAAGTACTCCTTTTCTTTTTGCGAATACAGACTAACACGGCTGTTACTCTGAAACCTGTTTTCTGTCAATATAAAAGTAAAAAATACAGTTTTTTAAATTGTGTACTAATGTTGCTACTGCCCACTTCTAATTCAGCAGCAACATGTGCATAGCTCTCAGAGTGGATAATTTTTTCCAGTAACTTTAGTATGCTGAATGAGTTTATTATGGAACACTGAACAAGTATTGTTAACATTCACTTTGGGCAGAAGAATTGCTTTAATTCGACTTTTCTCTTCACTCCAAACACTGTTCATCGCAATGAACACTCATTCCACCGGACGGTTTGAACTGTTGTGGTCAACACAGAATATTCTTCTAGCTATAGTAACAGATCTGAAAAAATATTTTGTAATTATTAGAAAAAAATTTAAATCATTTTTTTATTAAATGAAAAACCCAGACATTTCATACGGGACATCATATGAAAAACCAGGACTATCCTCATAATACTGGGATCTGTTGTCACCATAACTAGTAAATCTATGCTTACCAAGGTAAGTAACCTTAGAAATGTCTGATATTACCATAACAAAGACAATCCAATATTTTTTCAAATGCAATAGTGCCAATCTCATACTATGAAGTTTCTGGCAATTTGAAACAGTATTCCCTACCACTCTCCTCCTTAGACTAGAGATCTTTAGAGCAAAGGTGCTGGTCAAAGTCAACCTATCCAACACAGAAAGGCACATGTCAGCAGTTAGGACTTCTCAAGTTGAGATTTGAAATGGAAGCTTCGCTTGACCACCCTTTGAGGGAGAGAATCTGCAGGGAATGCTGATGTGGCTGCCAGATTGAAACAGTGAAACCAGTGGGACAAGATGAATCTCTGCACTTTTGGCCGTAGGATGAAATTTATACATGACATCATTATTCCTAGCAGCCAGAGTCTTATCAAGACTGGTGGGTTTTACTATTGTAAGCAGAGTCAGGATGGGCTCCACCCTGACATCTGGTGGTGAGGTGTGGCAAGTTGTGGAAAAGAACTTCAGGGGCTGATCTCATTTGCATAGGCACACCCACCCTGCCTAGAATGAGGCCATAACTGCCCAAATGGTCACTTTGGCTGTTGTGGGATCCCCAGTGTCTCTGTTATTGGGGCGGGAAGAATAAATTGTTATTACCCTGATTATGGGAACTGTGCTTGGAACTGTACTTGGCCTTTTGTTATGATGGAGGGACTCACCATCAACTGAGTAGCACTCGCTAGGCAAGGGACATGGGTTCCAAAACTCTGTGAATTGAGAGAGACTTGAGACAGGTATTAGTACCTGGTGGTGTGGGCCCCTTTGTGAGGGCCTGAAGCACCAATTGTACCTCTGTCTCTCTCCACTGTGGAATATCAGAGCTAATTTTGGGTCTATTAAGAGTCTTGCTACAGGTACTGTGCTGCATTCACTTTGGCCTTATGGTGCACCAGCACTAAGGCTCCCACTACTATGAGCTGAAATCACTGAGCACTGTGTCAAGTAGTGGGGAGCCGGAAGATCTAGAGTGCAGTGGTGCTGTTCACAGATAGGCTGGCGGAGTGTTCGTGAGACGGTGAGGTGAGCAGAGCTGTTCGTGAGACGGCGAGCTGTGCAGAGCAGAGCCAGTTGTTGTGGAGCGGAGCTGTTCGTGAGACAGCGGTGTTCATGAGATGGCGAGCTGAACAGAGCTGTTCTTGAGACGGTAAGCTGAGCGGAGCCGGTCGTGGTAGAGCAGAGCCGTTCATGAGACAGCGGTGTGTTCATGAGACGGCGAGCTGTGCAGAGCGGAGCCGGTCGTGGTGGAGCAGAGCCGTTCGTGAGACAGTGTAACAGAGCCCTGTGGGGCAGTCAGCTTCAGGACACGTAAGGTGCCCCTTACCTCTTTCCCCCACACACAGGCACATTTTAGCCAGACTGGGGAGTAACACTCTGCAGATGAACTTTTGAACTCTGGGTCTGGACTTTTTGGTCTTTGGATGATTTGTGGATTGCTGGACTCAAGAGACGTTTGGGTTCTGGGACTCAAGAACCCGAGGGAAAGGATGTGGCCCAATTTTCTGGGGTGGGTCTTTGCTCATGGTTTGGTTAATGAACACTAGTTGTGGTGTTTCCCCAATTTAATGCTGATGTTGTTTACCTCATGTTATTAAAGATTCTCCACTACACCGAGACTCTGTGCTTGCGAGAGGGGAAGTATTGCCTCTTTGAGGCGCCCAGGGGGTGTGTAAGATTTTCCCAGGTCACTGGGTGGGGGCTCGAGCCAGTTTTGCATTTGCTTTGATGAGAGAGAACCCCTGTGTACTGATCCCGGCCCTTGCTGCTATCAACTTGGCCTGGCAGAAGGGTTACACTATAATTATTAGTTAACATTAATATTACAGCAGCACTGAACATCACTTCTGATGCTGCTTGTTTTATCTCCCCTGTCTTATTCCTATGAGGAGTATTATCTCATATTTCACATTGCTGGAGAATCTTGGAGAAACTAGGATTGGAACCTGCTCTTTGGAACCAATTGGAACCAATTCCAGAGAGTAGCTTCTTTTATAAAGCTGTTATCTATGTTTCCACTGTGGTTTTCTGCTGTATTAGGCATCAGCATGGTGAGGCACAACAAACAGATGAAGGAGAGGGCTCTCACAGTGAGCACTGCCTCCATAGCTTAGCTGTGGCTAGAATGAAGCGCTGCCAACATAGCCATTTCCTAGCAGAAGGAGTTGAATGTGGGAGTCTGTTGCCAATTCTTGCAATATTTGGTGTTTTTCTTTAGACCTCAGCTTCTGGAATAGGGATTGCATCAGAATCTCAGATTTCCTTCTTCATTTGTTTAAGTTTGTAATCCTCATAGTTGTGGAGAAAAACTTGAAAATGTGAAGCAAATGAAACCTAAAGGCTCAAAAATAGGATGGCAAATAAAAAGAACTCAACAATTTTAACTCATACTATTTCACCTAATTCTATGATTATTGATTGGCCTGACTCATGACTTTTGAAGCTTCTAGTTTACAGCTTAACTCTCTCCAGGGGCAACATAGTAAAGTTATAAAGCATTCAACACAGAGAGACTTTTCCAAGAGTCTAATATAATTGCTCCTTTACTTAATCATATAAAGCACAAGTTAGTACAGATCATACAGAAAACAACATGCCCTACATGCATTTCCCTGCCTCAGTTTCCTCATTACTCCGCAATATTCTTTGGGCTGGAGTCAGAGTCCCTGGGTTGTCCAGACTCCTTAGTGCGGGGGAGGGGGGGGTGGGCACTCCACGAATTTTGGTAAGTCGTCACGGGCCACACATTTCTTATTAATGAAATTACTTCACCATCTATCATAAAAAGACCCCATTATGTTCTTTACACAACAAAGTAATAACAATTAACTGAATACACGATTATCCAAAGCTCATCTTAGAAGGCAAATTCTATTGCAAGCAGTTTTGTGAACACTTGTAAAATTTGTAATAATAACACTAACGCTAAATTTTAACTTACATTCAACTTACATTCATTATTAAAATTAAGTGTAGAAGAAAAATGAAATTCAGACAGTGTGAAGAAGAAAGTCTCTGATGGGCATTAACAAGGGAGGTGAAGTCAGGTGTCATTTCTGTTGTTTCAGTGCGGAGCACTGCTGCAAGGTGGTCATCATTGATCCAAGATCTGTTCTTTGGTTTATTGAATTTCATCACAGAAAATGTCTGCTCGCAGACGTAAGTTGATCCGAACAGTACAAGCATCTTTTGGGCATGAGTCTTGATCTTCAGAAAGTTCTGTTCATTGAGAGATGCATAAAACCTCAGAAGTGTCACTGATTTGAATTGCTTCACAAGCAATGCATCACACTGCAAGTCAATAAGCTCAATTTGGAGGTCACTTGGATAGTTGTCCACATCACGTGCGAAAGGGGAGGAGATCAAAGTCATTTTCTATCATTCTAAAATCTTCGAAGTGGCGAGAAAATTCAACATGCAGAGCGAGCAGTAACGATGTGTATCTTTCCAGGTTCTGGTCAGATACTGTAGTCTGTTGCAAAGTGGGGAAGTGTGTGAACTGCTTGTTTCCAATCTGACAGGAGAAAAGGAGCAACTTTGTCATGAAAGACTTGACAAAGGAATACATGTCATGAGCAAAAAGTCCCTTACCTTGTAGTTTCGAATTCAGTTCATTCGTGTGACCCGTAACATCCATGGCAAATGCGAAATCAGAGAGCCAGTTCACGTTGTTCCATTGAGGGAAATCCACATCTTTTCCTTTCAATAACAAATCAATCTCTGCTCTCAGATCCCACACTCTTTTCAGAACTTTCCCCAAACTAAGCCATCTAACATTTGTATGGTACTGAACATCCCTGAGCTCTGACTCAGACTCCTCCAGCAGAAAGGCAAATTGCCTGTGGTTCAGGTCTCTTGCTATAATAAAGTTGACCAGTTTTGTAACTGTATCTACAACATTGCTTAATTTCATAATGCTTTTGCAGAGGACCTCTTGGTGAATAATGCAAAGTAGAAGAATTATTTTCTGCTCTGGGTTTGTTTCTGTTACTTGGTCTTGTATTCTTTTCAACAATTCAACATTTTTGCTGACAGATTAGGGCTTCCATCAGTGGTCACACCCACCAATTTCTTCCACTCCAATCCCAGTTTTGAGACGCTGTTATTTACTGCCTCCAGTAGATCTTTTCCAGTAGTCATATTTTTCATTGACTTCATTGACTCATCTTCTGTGAGCTCAAAATTTGTGGTAATGCCTCGAATGAAAATCAATAACTGGGCTGTGTCTTTAACATCACAACTTTCGTCCAGTGCCAGTGCGAAGTATGAAAAATCATTTACCTTGCTTTTCAACTGTTGGTCCAGGTTCTCCCAGATTTCTTCTACACGTCTCACCACAGTTCGCCTTGACAATGAAACGTTTTCGAACTGCTTTTTCATTTGTGGGCACAATATTGCAGCAGAGTCAACCAAACATTCCTTCATAAAGTCTCCCTCAGAGAATGGTTTGCTGTTTTTGGTGATTTTGTGTGCAATCATGTAGCTCATTCTTGTAATTCTGTCTTGTGCTGCGGATAGTTTAGTGAAAAAACTTTGCTCTTTTTGCATTTGAGCAGCCATCTCATGTGCTTTTCTAACTTTCTCTTCGGCAGACATGTTCTTATATGTGGATGCATGTTTGCTCTCGAAATGCTGATGTATGTTGTATTCTTTGAATACTGCCACACTTTCTTTGCAATGTAAGCACACAGCTTTCCATGCCACATCAGTAAAAAAAGTATGTTGAAGTCCACTCTTTGTTAAATACTCAGCATTCAGCATCTACTTTCCTCTTCTTTGATAAGCTCATTTTAAAATTCTACCCCTCCACTGCAGTGCCACGGAATAAAATACTTTGTGCAAAAACTGAGAGCTACTCCTTGCTCCCTTGAATATGATAGGATTTCTGAAAAATTCTCACATCACAATAAATTTGGGGATGGGGAGTGGATGTAACTGGAAACAAACGTGAAAAGTGAATTACTTGTCAACACATGGCGATGAAATAGATTGCTATTAGCACTTTATTTGCAAGCCATCTATTAATTATTTCTTCTTAATTCCCTTAATTCCCTTAATTATTTCTTCTTAATTCCCTTAATTTTGTGGAATTAAGGGTGGGGGAATGTGACAAAATGCATTTACCTTCTTCTCTTTTTTGGCTTTGATCCTGCAATGAGCTCTGTGAGAATGAAGGTCTGCACCTAAACAAAGCCCTATTGACTTTTAGTTTGGGCGTTCCCCGAGGAGTTTGTTGCAGGATCAGGGCCTTAGTTATTATTAATTTCTGGTTTCATAAAACATCAGAGTTTTTTGTTCATATACCAGACAAGGAAGATAATTATCAACAACTTAAGACAAATCGGCAAACTTATCAGTGACTATTACTATGGTCCTCTGTATTTTTAAAGAGATTAAGTTTAAAATAAATGAAATTTTTTAAAAAAACATTTATCATGCATGTTATTTTTTAGGAGAAATCCTCTCCTGTGGAGCTAGTTCAGTTATGTGTTTGATGCCTAGCAATATGTGAACTGCTTGTCATATTTCAAGAATCCGGTATTATTGTAATGAATAGTTCTAAATCCCACGTATACTACTGGTTAGGAACCTACCAGGTAACCAACCCAAACCAGAACTGAGAGGCCCCTGAGCAAGGTGGGCAGGGGGGCAGCTCCGGGCACTGGAAGGGACAGGGCCTCGGGCAGAAGGGTCGGGGCTGGGGGCTAGCTTCCCCCAGCCAGCCCTTCAGTGTTGTCTGGCCCATGCCGCCTGGGGCTCCGGCAGCGATTTAAAGGGCCCGGAGCTCCGGGCCCTTTTAAATCACTGAGCCCTGGGGCAGTTGCATCAATTGCCTTGAGTCATGGCAGGCCAGAAGGGCCGCCGACAGGGGGCGGGGGGCGGGTGGGCAAAAGGGGCAGCTGCCTCGGGGCCTGACGATTTAAAAGGCCCGGCTGCTGCCACCGCTACTGCAACAGTGGTGGTGGCCAGAGCCCCAGGTCCTTTAAATCACCACCAGAGCCCCGGGAGGCCTGGGCTGGGCACCGCTGAAGGGCTGGCTGGGGGAGACTAACCTCCAGCCCTGACCCTTCTGGGACCCAGAGCTGGGTCCCCCCGCACCTCCCGGCAATTCTGTCACCAGCCCACAGGCCGGATCTAATTGTTAGGAGGCCCGGATGTGGCCCGCGGGTCACATTTTGCCCACCCCTGCTTTAGTGCCATCTAGGCTTCGGAAAGCAGACCAGGCCCCCTGCTTCATGGAGGTTCCTACACTGGGCTGCTTTTCCCTCATGAAATCTCCTCTCCAGCTTCTGTGCCCTTTCTCTCTCCTGCCCAGGACTGCTTTCTTTTCCTGCCTGGCTCCCTCTGTTTCCTTATTTTAGCCCCTTCTGGTCCCCTGGCTGCTTTGTTCTGTATTTGTAACTTTTCACAGTTCCCAAAAACAAAAAACAAAAACCCACCAACCTCCCATCAGAAAGTTAAGCTCAAACTGGTTTTCCAAGGATTCAGCTACTCTCTCACATAACTTTGATGTGGTCAAAGCACCTTAAGTATCATCCCTTTACCCTCAGTCTGGAGTGTGCCTGGTACATGTCTTGTCCTGTCCGCAATGGTGGATACATACAGGCATTCATGATACAGTTTTTCAGAGTAACATTTCATAATAACTCCATAAAATCAACCAGAATTCATAAATGACACAGACAGTCCCAGATGTTCACAAGCCAGGATGCCAGGTAGCTCAGAAGTCAGCTGTTTGTGGATCCTAGCAAGCAAGCCAGCCATGGAGCTGGCCACACAGCCAGGGAGCTGGGCAGCCCAGGGAGTCATGGAAAGTTTCAATGGAATTGACATGTTCATGCAGAACATTTTCATTCCATTGAATTGGCATTTTCCAACAGGAAACTATTCTGTCAGAAAATTTTCAACCTGCTCTAATGGAGCAGATTCTGTTTTCCCTCTACAGGTACTCATTGATCATGCTGGGCTTTATCCTTCTTATCAACAGATGCACAGGACTGCATCAGCCCCAATAATGTAAGAAACAGCTCTATCAACACTGTGACACTGCTTCAGCTGCATTGGCACTAACAGCCTTTTAGGTAAAGTGACAGATGTGTATGAGCAGATAAAGGGAAACTTAGCACAAAAGGGGTAGCCTACCTGGATCAAGTTGGGGGAAAAAAACAGGAATTAAGGGAACACTAACCCAACATAGAAGCCCTTATTGATAGTCTTTTTTCATTTCTAGAATATTTTGTCTGCAGAAGAAACCTATATTACAGTTTGCTTCACAGCACTGAAGATTGGATTACAATGAAAAAGCTGCTTTTTGCCAGCTTTTCTTTAATAAAACAATAGGAACATTTTTCTGGCCAAAGGTCAGTGTTTTCACACTTTCTTGAACCCAACAAGGGTATAATGTTAGCAAGTCTCATAGGGTGGGAAAATTATTATTTTGCTATAAACAGGTTTGTAAATTACAGAAAATAGCTCTATTAGTGACTAATGCTTATAACACTATAGAGATCTCATTAAACTCAGCATCAGAAACTGTGATAGGCAGTGAGGGAGATAGGTAAGCAAAGATGGAGCTATGAAAATTCCCCCTCCCCACATGACAACAATTATGAAGACATTATTCCACTCTTCAGACAGATATATATTCCACATCCTTTGCCAGAAAAAAAAAACTGTGGCATTGGGGAGGTGGAAAAAAAAATACTCTTTGCCTCTGTTTGGCAGAGTAAAGCAAATTGTGTTCCAGGCCCATATTTTTATTCCCATTTTTACAATCCTAAACACTTACTTGGGCTGAAATACTGGGCTGTAGCACAGAATTTTTAAAAACAATTTTTGAAACCTGAACTCTAGTCTCATATTTACGTGACAATTATGAAATCATGGCCCTAAATGCTAAGTGTTGCCCACTGCACCTTACTTGCTGTTGTCTGATTGACCAATCTCAGGGTACAAAGACCATGACTCATTGTAAAGAGAATGATAAATTATCCATCTCTCAGCACCTTCATAATCCATAATACATCTCAAGATATCCAGTTGCCACATTTTCATGAGCCTCTGCCAACATTATATTTCTTAATCTGGATTTGTTTTCCAGCTCATCAATTTAATTTGTGTTGTGTCTATCAATCATTAAGTCCAAGATTCTTCCCCCCAGCACCCACCCTTAGCTTCCTGCAGTCTTGAGCCAAAACTTTTAAACTTTGTATCCATTGCAACCATTGTAGCCTGGATTGTATCCAACCCTTTACTAAAATCTGTCAAGTTCATATTTGTGGTGTTCAATTGAGTGGACTAGAAAATAAAGATGGATTAACTCTAACACTGCTTTATAACACTGCAGCCATTCCAGATTTCTCTGCTGCACTTAGTCCAACTAGACTTTCCACATCTTATCTTCCCCTACAGCTCTCTGTCACACACAGCCTCTGGACAAAAGAACTGCCTATGATAGATACAACAATATTAAAGTGATACAGTCAAGATTCTTAGGTCCAGACTTTGATCTAATATTTTCTTCTGTTTCCACAGTCCACATAATTGTACGTGTTATTTTAAAACAAGTATTTCAAAGTTCATTCAAACCCTTTCTATAAAATATTTGTGTGCACAAAGGAAAACAAGTTACGTATGGAAAGATTTCATTTTCAAGATTTCAACGAGTAATAATATTATTTTTCACTCCTACAGCACCTTCCATCCAACAATCTCAAAGCTTTTTACAAAACTTTCTGCATTAAATCTCACAGAACATCTGTGAGGGAGGTATGTGTTATCCCCCAGTTTACAGATAAAAACTTGTGTCACAGTGATGGTAAATAACTCTTGATCACAAGACAAACCAATAGCAGATTAGGTTAGAAAAGTGAGATCTCAGGACTTCTAGTCCTGCGCTATAACCTCAATGCCAGAAAGAGAAAAAGCAGTTCTGAGAAATATCCTCATAGTGTCTATTTTAGTATGTCCCATATGGTTTGAGAGATCAGGGTCATTACCTCCCAATGGGATGGAATGGAAGACCGATACTAGATCTTCCTCACAGATGGTGGATTATTAAATAAAAAATGCAAAACTTGTTAGCAGCCACAGGTTTATTTTTAAGGCCTTTCTACATTCCTGGTAACTACTAACCATCAATATTTTTAAAAGCTCAGTAAAAACAGGACATGACATTGTAAAAATAATTGAAGCAGAACTCAAAGAAAAATACTACAAAAAGTTATCTGCCATCTCAGCCTGCCCACTTCAGTTTTATCTGGAAGGCAAAAAGTCAAGCAAGTAGGAAAGAAGGAAAGTCATGTTTCTCTTTGCTGCGTCAATAAAACCTACCTATTGTAACAGACTTTTTTGTAAAATTATGTTAATGTATATGAATAGAGAGTCTAAATCAGCAGCCTTTCCTCATGTAGCCTCATTGGACCATTGAATTGCTCAGGCATTTGTACAATGCATATTACTCAATAAGGTGCAAATCCTTCCTCAAACAGGCAGTCCAGATAACTGGGCTGTGTGATTACAGGTGCCATGGTGGTAAGGGGGAAGGAATCTTGCCCTATTTGTCCAGCAATGGCACTCATGGCTACTAGTACAGA